AGACTTCGCGGACTTCGTCAACTTTTTGTTTGGAGACATGGCACCACAGAATCGTCGCGCTTTCACTGCCCTCATCAAGCTTTTGGCCAATCTGCTGGACGGGTGTGGCAATGATGGTGACAGGGGAGCATTAACACTTGCTTTTGCAGAGCTGCTCGTCTACGATGGAACAGCTCCTAATTATATCAATCTTCTCGATCGTCTTGTGGAAGACTGCGATCGAATTTTTGAAGAACCTGGTTTAAATCACAGTTTCAACCTCGATAACTCAACATATGAGTCAATCAACTCGGCGATCCGTGGCAAAGGATACACACCCTCATTGGCCTCAAACACTTCGTCGCTACGCCGGAAATTTGGGTTCGATAATCTGTTACGACAAAATAGCAGAGACGAGAGACCTTCAGTATGGCGACAGCTCAGTAAGCATAGAAATCCCGCCACAGGCGAGGTAAACAGTTTATCTAAAGCATCATTAGGCCGTTCAAGGTCTATTGATGACAACACACTGCCCAAAAAGCTGTCGCGGCGCCCAGGTTCCAAGGATCGTCCGCCCATAGCAGGGGCGTTTGACGAAATGCAAAGACCTGGCAGCTCTCATAGGTTATTGGAGACAATCGGTGAGCCGGAGACAGAGAAGCCACTCCCACGGTCGCCCAGGAAGAAGCGGCGCAGTTCATTATCAGACCTCAAGAGTCTCATGGCAGCGACTACACTCGATGACGATGCTGAATCACCGCAACCGCTTCAAGACGCGAAAGAAACATCAGAAAAGGTCAACGCGAGCCCCAAGGCGACATCTCCGTCTAGAATACCTGTTAGTCCCGGTATAGCGACGTTGAGAGGTTCCAAGCAGAAGGAAAATGTTCCAGATCCGTTTCAGCAAATTACGTCGCCGAATACTTTGGCGCCCAGCCCCATGGAACTTTCAGAAGAGCCAACACGACGCACGTCACCAGCCAAAGGCCACAGACACTCAAGGACCCTATCATCGACTAACATCCCGACACTGCGCCCCTACCGCTCAGCGCCTCCAGGATCTGAATCACCGCCCCGTCCAAGCTCAAGTCCGACCAGGCGAGGAACGCAGAGACTCCGCTTACAGTCCCCGCAAAAGCTTCGAGAGCGGCTCAACACTGAGAAGCAGGCGGTCGACGACGTGGACGCTTCTCTCAGATCTGAGCTATCCAAAATTGGTGAGGAAATGGCACGCGTCAACAATACACGACCTCCGGGCTCCCAGTCTGTCGATATGAGACGAGTGAGTGCTGCTGTTCGGGAGTTGGAAGACCGCATCCCCACTGCTATACAAGAACTACAAGACAAGCAAAATGCTATCCAACGCGATATGGAAACCACGGTCAAGGCAGCCGAGGCCAAGGTGCGAGCGATTGACCAGCTATACAAGGAGGCAGTGGCAGAGAATGAGCTACTATATGAGAAGTTCAACGGAGAGCTTGGCAAGATAGTCAAGGCTCTCAAGGGCAAGGGCAAGGACGAAAAGGAAGAGCTCATGATGAGACTCCGCGACCAAAGCGACGAAACAGCGCGAATGAAGAAGGAGAACGCGCGACTGAAGCGCGAGATGGTGAGTCTCCGCGCGGCGCTGAAGGGGACGACGGAGTAGGCGCTGCTGTCCTCTGGGAGGCTGGCAGGGAGGCTGTTTGGGCGTTTGAAAATGATTTTGATGGTAATGAGTCAAGGTATTTGTCATGTTTCCACGGCCGGGCTGTACATAACGCGGCGGGTTCTGGGCTTTGTCGGAATAGGGGGTAGGGTCAGGGTCGCATGGCACGGACTGGTCCATGTCTGGAAATGGGTGACCGGGACAATCAATAATGGATTGATGTCATGTTTATACAATATGAATTAGAGGTTATGAAGAGTCATGATGACGATAATCTATCTGTTCAGAGCTGGGTATCATGTATGTGAAGTTTATGAGGCTACGGGTTCGCTTTGTTCGATCCAGCAGTTAAAGAATAAAGGGCCGGCTTGGACAGAGCGGATTGCGGTTGTACTCTGACCACCAAGGGAGGAACCTTGCTTTAATGAGGTATCGTTTGGTGGTTGAAGATTTGGCTGGGATGGTATCCAATGTTGAGGATGCTAGATCAGTCAGTGAAAGTTCATCTTACAGCCAATACACTTACACCTATAGGTGCATTTGCATCATCACGTAGCTCAACGGCAACAGTAAAAGTGCTCCCTTCAGGTAAATCAGGCATCATCTCAGCCTTCTGTGCTACTCTCCTCAGGGCACCTCTCAGGGCCTCGTTTACGTCGGTCCAGTTCACCACACCATCATCATCACCCTCTACCAAGGCAGGGTTGTAAGTCGCCTCCTCTCTATCACCCCACCCAGCAGGAAACAGATCAACGTCAAAGACCCATCTCTCCAATACATCAAAGGTCTTTGCAGCATGCATCGAAATGGCAATACGACGGACAGTTCCTTTGCGTAGCTGTGCCGCTACTGAAGCTACAGCGTCGTTTATCCACGTGCAGAGGCCAGGGTGACGGGATTGATGGACGGGGAGGTTCAGGGCTCGAGCTGTTAGAAAGGTTGTTTTGGGGTAGAGAGCGCGATGGTAGAGGAGGGTGTGTAGGGTCAGTGTTAGAAAGGTTGTGAATGATGAGAGGAGATGGGATGCTTGAGAGGCGGGGATTAGAGGGCCCGTTTCCATTGTGAGGTAGGTTGAGAGAAGAGACTTGAGTGGTGATGGTAGAAATTCATGGTTTGAGAGAGAGAGTACGTAGGGCGCGTTGAGTGGAACGCGATATCACGTGAGTGTCGTCATGAGAATGATCAACCTCGGTTCTTATATAGTCCCTGCCTATAAAATACTGAGGTCACTCAACGTTGCATGTTCGAGGCTTTGTATTAATAAGCTCGAATTCCTAACTAATGCCTTATCTAGGCAACCAATCCTGCACCAATAGTAATCATGGCTTTTGGCATTTGAATCACTGACACTGCCCCGCGATGCCCAAAGTTAAAGGGATCCACATATAGGGCTGAAGAGGCAACTACTTCATGACGCCGCTTCCCAAACTTCCTCAACGTCAACTCATAACCTCCGTCTTCTCCACTATCCACTAGGTATCTTTAGCGAGCTACCTACTATACTGTACCTACTCACTACATCTACCAAAACTCCACTCGTCAACTACAACATCAAAAAGAACATCAAATTCATCGCCCTTCATCATGTCAGAACCTCTCAGTGTTGCCGCCATTCTAACTGGCATGGCAGATGCTCTACCAACGCATCCCTCCAATGACGATTCATCTGACCTCGCTTCATCATACGAAGTCATCGCTCTCCTCATCCACTCATATCTCGCTGCTCTAGGCTTCAAGCTTCTGGGTTTCGATGAGGACAAGAACATACGTAAGTTTACCATCCATCAACATCATGACTGAGCTCACATGAAACAGCTGAATGCGAGTCACTCGCTCCTCGTCTGCCACCACAATGGAACTCGGGCTTCGGTTCTTACAGTTTTGTCTATAAGCACAAGCAATCGGCCATGACCTTTAGCATCCGTATTGACCGCATGGGCAAAAAGGTCGAGATTCGAGGAGTAGCCGTCGGAGATGACAACATCCGTCGTTTTGAGAGGTCGATCAGCGACGTTGTGGATTCTAAGAAACTCCCTCTTCGCATCGCCATCAAGGACGGCCAGGAAGATCGAAGTGATCTTCCCGAGAAGCTCCGCGATGTCTTCGCCTCTGAGCAAGCTATTGCTGGTATATTCTTTCGCTTCCCTTTGTTGGGCATCCCAAACTAATCCGTCTGGCCAGATATCTTACATGACCTCAAGGTCAACATTGTTCAAAAGCTCATCCCAAAACTCCAAAGCGAAGGCTATGTCGAGACAGCTGAAGCCGAAGCTAATGCGCGCTCCGAGCGCCGTGCTCAAGAAGCTCAGAACCCAGACCGTCCGTTCCGTGGCGATCCTGTACCACACCCACACCCGCTTCAACCCCCAGCGAACCCGCTCCCTGAGATAGCTCGTCCACGGCCTGCACCAGTGGGCGACTTTCCTCCTCCCGGCTTTGAGGATGAGTACGAGATGAATCGACCTCCACGAGGCGGTCTTCAAATGCCAGGAAGATCGCCCTACAACATTGGACACGATGACTTGAATCCTCCTGGTCTCGGCCCGCACGATCCTCTTCGTGGTTCGTTCATTGGTGGAGGACTACCTCGTCCTGGTGGTGGCTCAGGGATGCATCCTACTTTCGATGATCCTTTGTTCGGCGGGCACGGAGGTGACGGTTCCTCGGGTTTCGATCCTCAAGCGCCTCCAGGAGCCCGATGGGATCCCACTGGCCCTGGTGGCAACCCGAGATTCCCTGGTCCTGGTAACGGACGGGGTAACAATCCCTTTGGTGGAGGTTACAGTGGCGGATTCGGAGGAGGCTTTGGCGGAGATATCATCTAGACAGAGGTGGAACAATACTAAGGGCAAGTGCACGCTTGCTTCGGCACAATGATTAATGATCAATTTTCTTCCGCTCAACTAGTTCGTGCTTCGATTTTTCAGTTGTGGTGAATTCTATTCCTCCTTAAATCTCCCAAACAGTCTGCCCCCTCGGGAACAAGAAAACATCGGACCTTGATATAGGACGCCAAAATACACTTAGAAAAGGTATCCTAGACTTATACCAAGTTACCTAGGTAAACTTATGTCAAGTTACCTAAACTTATGCTAACCTAAGTCTTTTTGTCACTTATGATCGAGGTCTTTGGTTTTCTTTCCTTTCTTTGCCCATTTTCTCTAATTCTATCTGCAATTCATGTCAATTCATAATACGATACACATTAATCCTGCACCCGGCTTATCGGATTTTCAATAGCCGTGGTTCTTTCCTGCAGTCGGAAAGCAATCTTCCTCTCGCGCTTTCGACGAGAGGAGCGCTCTTTTTTCTTCTTCTTTTTCTTCTTCTTCTTTTTCTCTTCGTCGTTGTCGTAAGCACATGCAGTTCTTGTCTATTGTCCAGCTGAACTAGCGGCAACCTCGTTGAGCTTCGACTTTTCTTCTTCTGTAAGCATGTTGTACCACTCCTGGAAATTAGCGATGTTCTCGCGGCCGCAACGGATGAAAAAGTCGGTCAGATAGGCTTGAGTCTCGTCGTCTCGCTGCCGCTGGCCACCCTCCATGAAAGACATCAGGTCAGCTTTCGTGGTGCCTAGACTGAGATCAAGAGTGTCATCTTCATCCTCCCAGCCCTCCTCGTCATTCTCGTCGTCAAAGCTAGCAGAGGCCACAGCAGCAGAGGCAGCGTTCGCAGCAGCCCGTTGGCCAGATGCAGACAGAAGCTCCTCGATGAGGACCTTGATGATCTTGAGGGAAGCAGGAACAATCGTGTATTGGTCTGGGTCTGATTGTTGGTTGGTTTTATTAGCTTGCTGACTTTCAGCGTATCGGGCGTAGATTGAGTCTAGGGTGGAGGTGGAGGTGGTGGTTGAGAAGTCGCGGATGGAAGGATACATACTCTGCTTTGCGCGTGAGCGTGTCTTAATAAGCCCATCGTCGTTGTTGACGATCAGGTCGCCCTTGACTTGTGTCTGGGCCAGTCGAGGATCATTCAGAGAGTAAAGCTTCGATAGAGCAATGACGTTTTGTCGAATTTCATCGTATCCAGCAAAGTTGACAGAATTCTCCAGCCACTTGGCCATGACAACTTGCAGGCCACTTTCGCCATTGATCTGAACCTGGCTGAGGAACTCAACAACATCTTGAGCGCCAGAGAGGGTAAGTCGGGCGAAGACAAGAATAAGAGACTGGATGAAGGCTGCAGCCTGAGCAGTAGCAAGTCGGTTAGCGACAGCTTGGAGAAGCTGAGGTAAGAAAGGACCAAGGCGCTCCTGGCCAGCCTTCTCGACGAGCTCGGCAGCCAGACCGCCAACCTCGGACGCTGAGTTGTCCTCAATAGAAGGACCCAGGAGTCGGTCGATGATGTGCAAGCAAACCTCTAGACCAGAACGGCCGTTGGCATCTTGCCAAGCAAGAACTTGCTGATGATCATGCTGGAGCATCCACTTCACAACTTCAGATCCAGGTCGGAGGACTTCTCCCTCGGTAGACTCCATAAGAAGACGGTTCAGCTTAGGGAATGTAGCCGCGACGAAACCGGCGGGGAGAGGCTCTGGTCCGTTCTCGGCCAAGACGGCCAATAGCTCGGTGGCAACCTAGTTATCGTCAGTGAAGCATGGAAACTGGTTCATTGGGGCTTACAGTGACCAGAGGGTTGTCCTCGGTGAGATTGGCGACATCAAAGGCGCCAGTGAGCGTAGGTAGAAGCTTTGCACAGAGAGCTGTGTAAGATTCAGGGTCAGAAAGATCCGCAACGATATCTTCAAATGCCTCGGAAATCAGCATAGTGACTTGGAAGTTGCTTGCGCCTAGCTTGGCTAGCATGAAAAGCAGATCAACCGACTTGACATCGTTGGAAAGGGCGATGCGTTTGTCGAGAGTAATAGCAGCGCGGAGGGCTTCAGCGAGCGTAACGAGAAGTTCGTCGGCATCTTCCATATCACTGGGGTCCTTGTTGTTCATGTAGCTTTGGATGGCATTGATAATAGGAACCTGCCTGTCGGCAGACACCTGGCCAGCGTTTATTAAACCTTCGACAGCCTTGACACAGGCGACCTGCACGACCTCAGACTCCTCTTGAGTGATGGAGGTGATGATGCGGTCCAACAGCTCAACCGGGGTCTGGAAAGAACGGCAAAGCATACCAGCAACGAGATAACCTCGGGCGCGGAGAAGAGGTTCTCCGCGTCGGTTAACGGCGTAGTCAACTAGGGAAAGATAGGCATGGGCCACTACTTCGGGAATTTCCTTGTTCATGTCTTGGAAGTCGCTGACCAGCATGACAAAGAGGTAGAGCGCCGCCTCTTGACTGCGCCAGTCGGAAACCTCGCCACCAAATAGGGCCTGTGTTTGGCCAAACAGGCCGTCAATCGCCTTCTGGTTAAACCACTCACCCATCTTGATTAACAGATCCCCTGCAGCAGTTCGTGCGGTATAGTTGGCAGTCACAGAGGTCTCCTCAGCAAGATACAGGGAGCAGTCGATATCCCACAGGTCTTCTTCTTCCCGAGTCACTCGCGAATAACCAATAAGCATGTTCATAATCTCCTTCATCCAGGGAACTTCTGAAGCTGAGGCATGAGCATTGAGGTGACCGTCCAGCTCGGCTTGCACAGGAGGGGCTCTGAAGCATTGGTTAAGGAAGTCCAACTCTTCGAGAATGAGAAAGTCCAAGGTATATGGAAGGTTGTCCGAGTCTTCAAGACGTCCTTGGGCATCCGCTTTGATATAGAGCTGCTCGTGCGGTCCCTGCAGAGTAGAGAGCTCTTTCCAGACTGCACTGAAGAAGATGGTACTTTGGGGAAGGAGCAGGTTAGGGAAAACGCGTCGAATTCGGAGGAGCGTCTTGACAACCTGAAGTTTGAGAGCGATAATATGGCTCCAAGAGTCAGGTTGAGATCCGCTCTCTAGGTTGGCTTCTGGAAGAGGGCTCTGTAGAACGGTAATAAAGAAGGGGTTCCATTGTTGAAGAAGACCGTCCGCAAAAGCGCGAACCTCCTTAGCGTGGTCCTCCTTAATCATATTGAGGAGATCAAAACATCCTCGGAAGATGGAAATAGCGAGCGCTCGGTGCATGGGCTTTCGGTTTTCATTGAGGGCAACCTCAGCAAGAGCCTTGGCAATATCTTGGGCCATTGAAAAGAACTGGTCCTCGCTCAAACTCTCTTCAATTATATCGTTGAGTAATCGCAGGGCGCCGTGAAGCTGTGAATCGGTGCCGGCCGGGACGACAGAGATAACTGTGGGGAGGAGGTTTGGCCATTGCTCGGGGAAGTCGTGGACGGCGATTTTGCCAACGGCGTAACTGGCTGAGATCTTGACTTTGCGATCGTCCTCCGGGCTCAACACAAGGTCGAGCAAGACCTGCTTGAGCTGGCCTCTCGCCTCATCAGAGATAGGGATGATAGGTCCGTCATCAGGCTCATCGTTGTTCCAGTTGTTCTCGATAAAAAGTCGCAGGTTGCTCAGTGCAGCCTGACGGATGTTGGTATCAATCGAGGTGTGGGCGGCGATATTTGCGAGAGACAGGGGAAATGCGGGATTCGTTCGAGCGCGCTTCAACTCGAGTTCGGCCTGTAGCCTGGGACCCTGTTCAGACAGCTGCGTGCTGGAAAGAAGCTGTACCAACTGGTCCTCCATGATTGTATAGGACTTTGGTAAATAAAGAGGTTTGGATGAAATAGGTAAAGAGAAAAAAAGTTGAGGTTGGCGGGGAGAAAAGAAGCGGAATTGACGATGATGGTGGGGGAGAAACAAAGTGTGGGTCTAACACTACCTAGGTAGAGCTTAAGGCAGGAAAGGTCAAGGGGATGAAAGAATACTTAGGACCTTTATCCTAAGGGACAAAAAGACTTAGGTAAATTTAGTATAGCTCAGTATAGATTTAGTAGACTTTAGCTTACCTTAGATCAGGTATTTTTGACCCTTTGGTTTAGCGTCGGGCATTTTCTTGCTCCCATGAGGAGGAAGAGTGCAGGTCGTGCTTCTTAGAAACACCTTTTGTTTTTTTAAATCGACATAGAAGAAAGTGCCGAGATTTTTTTAGAGTAAATCGATGCCTGCCCTGATTTCCATAGAGCGAGGTAGCTACTAAGTTTATCAAATTGCCTTACTAAGTTGTGGCCTAGGGATGAATTCTCGCAACTCTTCGGCACTCTCATCTCAATACTACTCAAATCGCGGGGCAAGCTATTGGTCCATTCACGTGTTCCCCTGTTGTTTTTCTTTGGACCCCTTTACCTGAGAGCCATGGCTACTGGGCTAGGGGAGGGAAAGAGAATGCGGGACCTTGACTCTAGGTAGATGATAAAAAGATTGAGGTAACTCAGTATAAATTTAAACTAAGTTTAGAGTACCTCCTGCTGAGTTTATTTTGACATCCTATATCAAGGCCCGATGTTTTCCTGCTCCCTGAGGGCTGGGCCATGACACAAGCAGAGCCTCGGAATATCGGCAGTCATCGTCGTTGAAGAGCAGCTAGCTACCTTAGCTTCTCCATGTAACTTCTCCTTGACGTAGGGTATCCAGTTTGTCTGGATATGGGCCCCCTGTAGCTTGATCCTGCTGTAGATGGTGACGCAGCATAAGTCGAGTCCAATCATAGTCTAAACTTTCTATCATATTATGAAGATTCCCATTATATGGAAAATCCAATAGCGATCTTCACGATGTTCTCTGGGATACAAGTGTCATACTAAAATCCAAATCGTGCTTGAAAAGACTTACCCTATGGCAAGAGTTCCACGATAAAGATGGTCGGTTTTCAAGTGACTTATCATAAGATCTGGACACTCCTGGTAGCATAAGGTAGTTAGCTGACCTCGATTTCGACATCCAGTCTTTGAAATCTTTACGGTCATGTCTATAAGTCATGTCACTCGAAATATCTAATCGACTTTATATTGCGGAGACTCGGCCTCCACGCGTGATAGATCTCAAGATGCTTTATGTAAGTAGTATCTTGGTCTCTTCCGTAATTGCAAAATGGCTATACTTGGCCACTATAACACATCGCTTTCTGACCCAATTTCGTGGTCTCTGTGTCCATTATTTAAGAGAGAAAAACTCTTCAAATCGTATGAGGTCGTTTACTCTGCCCCATCGGATAAGTGAGTTTACAAAGTTTACGGGCCGATGACAGATTTACAACTAATGCCGTTTTCGTTCTCTCTGGGTGATCCCGAGACGGTGACGGAGCTGAAGTCGCGTCTGTGATTTCCATCAAGTAATACTTGCATATCAGACGCATTGACTGTCAATGTTCCTTGATATACGAATGCCGATCCAAAACCGAAGATTTGCAATTACTGGCTTACGTTTCTGGAGAATGCAGCTCGTGAGGAACCGAATCATACTATGTATGCATGGGCCGGGGACTTATTCAAGTTAGTCTTGTTGCTACTCTGCCTCGGTGTTACTTGGATTTCTAGATGCTAGATGTACCGGCATGACTCTGCCATCGGTTAGGCCATGTCAGTCCAGAATAGATCAGCCATGCCATTTGGGAGAACTGAAAGCAGTCCCGAAGAACACAATTTCATTTGGGACGTGGCGTGTTATTTGCGACCAGGTCGTTATTAATCCAACCATACGATGTAAAAACGGCGAACTTTCGGGGCAATACGAAGCTGAAAAGGGTCATCGCGAGGTGCTGCCAGAAACGGGATCAAGGATTCTTATGCCGGTATCAACCAGAAGGAGAACCAACACATCGAACTTCAGATGGAGAGGGGTCGAAGAGAGAGAGATCAGGCAGTAGAGTTTCGGTTAAAACCCGAAATGACCTAAGCTGTTGACAACGAGATCGCATTTCAGTGACTACTACGTGGATGAAGTTCAAGATAGTCCTGATAGGGCAGATAACTGCAGGCCTGGGCACTTTTACTATAAAAGAGACGGTTGACTCGATGAGATCGAGTAACAGATTTGTTCTGCAGTTCCAGGCTAACTCGGTTTGGGAAAGGCGGTACGGTACCCGTATCTTAGACGCATCGTTGTGGTGATAAGGAAACCGAGTTGACCAATGATATTTCTTCGTTTATATCCGCCTGGGGTAACTGATGTCCGATGGGTTGGCTCCTGCTCACATGGCGCTGATAGGTAGTGGCCCTGCCAGCTGCCTACAGTTGCATTTTCTGCAGAGCATCTTTCTTAGGCCCAGAATTTCAAGAGGAGTACGTACCGTCCGCCTTCACTGCAAACCTCTGTCTCCATGTTTTGCTTTGTTTCTCTCTTGCAACAAAACAACAGTAAATATTCGAAATCAACCTTGGTACATCTCTCCTATATAAAGCGACATCGGGGTCTCTTCCTAAAGCCTACATCAACATTACCCGGAAACACCTTCCAGCAACCACCCATACCAAGTATCGCTCCTTGGATTTAGGGTCTCATGTGGGGGCGCCCACCAAAACACGGCTTGGCTTCTCGGGCCCCATTTTCGTATCCATGTCACTCGAATCATCTCTCTGCATCAGCGCATCGTTCTATTCTATGCCGAATAGCATACGTACCATTGTACTTTGATCATATTCGAATGGATACCTATGAACGTTTCGACTTTGTTGTTGCGTGATGGTCTTACCATGCAGATCCTTCTGCTTTTCAAGGTCTGAATATCCGAATCTACAAACCGTCACAAGTTGGTCGTGTGCTCGATGAAACGACAAAGAAATACCGACCGGAAATGCAAAGTTCTCTCAGTGCCAACATGGGGAAGAATAACCTTTCTCAGCTTGACCTACTACGGCAAAAGTGGCCGCCGGCGAGGGCCCTTGCGTGGTATGTTCCTTGCCGGCTAGTTATCTGCAACGGCTGGGTCTGGGGATGAAGATCAGACTGATAGTGGCTACTGGGCGCTGATAACCTCGAGCCAAGATGGGGTCGCTCTAGTTCCTCTTGTCAACGCAACCGTAACGCAACAACGAGGTATGTCTCTCAAACCATAAATATAAATACTGCCTGTCACCCACTACGACCAGACTCTCCAAGACAAGAAGACGGTGGAGAAGTTCCAATTGGTCCCCTCTCATCCTTCAGCAAGACTACCATCTCACGTTCTTCCATCATTTCTTGTGTCATTGGATTTAATCCCAGTCTGCCATCCCTACTTGGTGTCACCTACACGTCATAAGCACCTCGAACAAGGTCTACCTATTACAATACAAAAAGTCTATCTTACTTTTTGAGTTTCTTCTAGATTCAAGCATCCGAAGCTTTTTGATCCCCGTTACTGGCTTATACTTCCACCTCCCACCTCGTCATACACCTAAGCCATGGAGGCCAGATCACGATTTAAGGTCTGGGCTGATAAAGTCGCTGTTGAGTCTGAACCTGGCTTGACCAAGACCCAGCTTATGGTATGAAGGCCTCGCAAGCTTCAGCTTGTCATCATGAGACTGAGTTGTACTGATCTCTTATGCATGCAGCTTACGAACCATGACCTCAAACCTGTCGAGGTGGAGCGCCGACAATGGGGCCCATGGAACTTTGTTGGTTTCTGGATCGCCGATTCTTTCAACATCAACACTTGGATGATTTCATCGTCCATGATTGTCAATGGTCTATCATGGTGGCAAGCCTGGCTCTGTGTCTGGATCGGATACAGTATCACTGGTATCTTTGTCGCACTCAATGCTCGTTTCGGTGCCATGTACCACATTGGTTTCCCTGTTGCCAACAGAACCTCCTTTGGTATCTGGGGTAGCTTGTGGCCTGTGCTGAACCGTGCTGCTATGGGTATGCTCCATCTTTCCCAGCACAATAAGAATTCATTACTAACATATAACAGCTGCTGTATGGTATGGAGTTCAGGCTTACATTGGCGGAGACTGTATCTATCTTATGATCCGCACTATCTGGAAGTCATGGGCCAATGTTCCCAACACTTTCAGCGAAAACTCGGGCACCGATACCTCACACTTCGCTTCCTTCTTCATCTTTTGGCTTGTATCGCTTCCAGCACTCTGGTTCCCTGTCCACAAGGTTCGACATCTCTTCACAGTCAAGGCATACGTTGTTCCCGTGGCTGGAATTACCTTCCTAGCCTGGACCATCTCGCGCGCAGGTGGTATTGGCCCCATTGTAAAGGCAGGTAACAAGGTCCACGGCAGCGACTTGGCCTGGGAAATTGTCAAGGGCATCATGTCTTCTATCTCCAACTTCGCGACACTCATTGTCAATGCCAGTGACTTTTCTCGATTTGCGCAGAAGCCCAGAGACGCACTCTGGCCCCAGATGATCACGATCCCCTTCGGTTTCGCCATCACTTCATTCATCGGCATCATGGTCTCTTCAGCTTCCTCCGTCTTGTACGAGGAGGCCATCTGGAACCCACTTGATCTTCTCGATCGATTCATTGACGATGGAAGTTCGGGTGAGCGCTTTGGTGTCTTCTTCATCGCTACGTCCTTTGCACTAGCTCAGCTCGGAACCAATATCTCGGCCAACAGTATCAGCTGCGGCACTGACCTGACTGCTCTTCTTCCTCGCTGGCTCAACATTCGTCGTGGAAGCTATATTTGCGCCATCGTTGGCCTGTGTATCTGTCCTTGGCAGCTTCTGAAGGACAGCAACCAGTTTACGACCTACCTTTCAGCCTACAGTGTGTTCCTGAGCTCAATCGCTGGTGTTATGGTTTC